TTAAAAAACACCATTTTTTATGACAATATGATTTTTGTGCGTCGGGACGCAATAAAAAATTATATATTCTTATAGCTGAGAACTTCCTCTATAAAATGCATATATTGGGTTTAGGGTAAAATTGAGTAAATTTTAACTGAAGTCTTTGAAAAAAAAAAAACGTTCGATTTGTTTTATGATTCATAACCGGTTAGGGACTTAAAAAAAAATTATTTTTATTGTATAATCTTTATATGTTACTTAACAATCAAGCATTTTATTTTTTTTATTTTACATATTTCAATAGCCAAAAAAAATTAATTAAATATCGGCATTTTTATTTTCAAAATAACAGAAAAAACAATATGTGCTTAGTTCACTTGGCTATAACTCCAGTTCAAAAAATTTCATTAAGTTGAAATTTTATATTTACTCTAGCAATCATATACTAATAAGATCCTAGAAAAAAAAAATTGATTTTTTGAACATTTTTAATGGCCTATTTTTGCCACCTAAATTTAATTGTCAGACCACTGTGCGGCGGTGGCGCATTACGATTACGACAAAGATGACCAGAAAGAATATATGATGATGATGATGATAATAACAAACCATCAGACTTTTATCCTGTGTCGGCCATTGCGTGAGATATCAACGCGACTGTTTCCAGTTAGCGTGTGTTGAATTTTTGTAAGCGTTCAAAAAAATATGTTATCTCTTATCACTTATATTTTGTCCCTTGTCTCGGTCTTCTGTGCAACAGGTAGGTTTGCCAACGGGTGGGGTGTTCATCAGCTCGAGTGCAATACACACAACTATGATTTGGCAATTCTCAGGCATTTCACTTGTCATACTTGCGAGTGTCTCTAGCTCGAGCCACTTTGATGGAATAGGCAGGTACTGTAATCTTACCATAAAAACGACAGCTGGCGCCAATTACTGGGATTCTACTACAACATACGAATAGCGCATACGTCACCTTGAGATGTTTGTTAACAACGAAAAAAAAACGACGAACACCGGTGGGAAAATAAAAATAGTCGACCGGGCGACGGTTTTTATTTTTTTTTTTTAATTTATGTACAAAGCGTGTCTTGTGCCGATATTGTATTATATTGTACTCTCCTTGACTGGCGTATGGATCGTAAGACAATAGTTATGTTATAATATCATAGTATTAGCCGTCGTGGTAGGATTTGGCAATGAGCACTGTCGTACCTATATTATTATTATTATTGTTTTTAACCGGTAGAGAGAAACTACGGAAATCCTCCGCGGGCTAATACTCGTACTTGCACTGCACTTGTACAATGTACACCTAACTGACTTATTTTGACACGGACGCGACACACAAACCGAGAACAAGCACCGTATCATATATTATATTACCTAACCGAGACAATGATAACAATCTATCTGTGCCGGTACAAAATTCACAAGTAGATTTTTTTTTTTGGAGTTTTTTTGAGTACAAATAAAATTTAAAAAACGTGCAGATTGAAATCTCCAGAAGAGCCCGTCCCGAGAGATTTTAAACTGGATAACGTTATTATAATTGGCCACTGAAATTAGCGTGTTCGACTTGAAGATAAAGCTGGAATTTTCATTTTGTTGCATCCTATTGAGGCCACCTTAGTCAACGGGCGTATCGACATTGTTACTGACTTGTAGTGCACAAATAATAATTGTAATGAGAACGTTACAGTCCTACAACACATGGAGATCAACACTGATGGATTCTTAGTTCTTGCCGCGTTATATTTACTCATATTAAACACAAACAGTAGTGCTGCAGGAAGGCAACCCAAACGTGTTTCCATCAAGTGCCAAAACAAATAAAGTCAGTGTGTTTGCTATAAGTAAACGTTGACGCCGACGTGTGACCGTAATGATATATTATATATTTGTGAAATCCTTTTTTGTACTTCGCAAATCGGTGTGGTTGTAAAATGATAATAATAATTTTTCACTCGTAGTTTCATTTAGGTCATTTTTTTCTATTTAGATTTTATACCATTTTTTTTAAGTTTCTTCTGGTCAGGAGTAGTACGTACTACTCTGTATGTTGTACGTGATGTGTTTATACCGCGTGTGCATTTGTATTCTCAACAGGTAAACAAAATAATTAATCCTTATTGAACATAATACATAGGTTTAATTTCTTCGTACTTAGTAGTTAAGAATTATTCGCCGTGACGCCGTTTGTTACGTAGGTACCTTATTGTTGTAATTCTATTTTGCGTTTTCAAAAATTATTTTTAATCCAAACACACATCCACAAGTATTGCGCAAGGACTTAACAGCGATTTCATAACCTAATCTGATCTAATCTTAACTAACCTAAATTTAAGTTTTAGATGAAACATCAAGTTGACGAAAAAAAATATGGAATCCATAAGGCTTACGTAAAACCACGAAAAAACCAACAAGTGGCGTTTTTCACCATTTCTGAGATGCTTAGAACATATAATACCAACTTAGGAATTAACTTCTTTTTTTTTTACCTAACATTCATTCAACAAACAGTTCTGTGACCACAGCAGTGATAGCACTCACTTAGAAAAGAAACACCTAATTTTTGGATTCATTACTATTTGACCGACGATACCATATAATTATCTCAATCCGATCAGGCCGATCCTGGTCAGGAGCACTATTGGAAAGTGTATAGGTCATTTTTTAGTCACGGGCTAAACGGTGTGTTAAAAAACTCCATAACGAATTCTGTACACGTTGCCAAGGCGTTCACGTCTCCCACAATATAACGTACGCTCTTCACCTTTTTGACGTCAATGACAATGATCATGAAAACTACAAGCGTCCTTAATCATCCATCAATATAGCCAATATTCGCATAGGTTTTTTTTTATATGTAAGCACGACCACTTCCGGTAGATTTTAAGTGGCTTGCAACGCTGTAGAGACTAAAAAACAAACGAGCGCTGTATAAAGTTAGTGTATTGAGGCCGTCTGGCTGTCATAAGTGGCGGTAATCAATTTTAAAGTAGTTATGCAAAATACAAAAAAAAAAAATCATTTCCTAAGCGAAATCTGTACTTTGAATTATAATTTATAAAAGTTATTCGAAGGACATGCGCAGAACAGTTTGAAACACGTTGAAAATACCACCAAAAGGTATTTTTATTTTTACAATTTTTAAGGCTATTTAAAATAGAAAACATGAAATTGACTTTTGATCCTTCGCACCAGATTTTTTCGATGATGACGTGATGGTAGCTTTTTAGATTTGTTTTGGTTCTTATTCCGAAAAAACTCATTGCGTACATAGTGGGCATTGCAGTGATGATGATGTCACAATGTTAAGTAATGGGGCAAAAGTTATTATGTATCTAAAATGAAAACTAAATTCAAGTCTTATGCTGATTATGGCGTCAAACGGTTTTGTCGGTAGTGAACACAAGATTATAGTTTCCAGAGAAAATTTTTTTTAAAGCGATTGGGAGTAAAACCTTGTAATTTCTTGTGCAGACTCGAGCTGCGAAAAAAACATCATTGCAAAATCAATAGCTTCTCAGCTTCGCATTAACCTATTACTATCGTGTCTTATTCACAATCGATTGGATGCAACCGACAACTTCATGGTTATGTGGTCTGATGATTCGTGTGCTTGCGCAATCAATGCCTGGCCTAATTAAAAAAGTGTCTACTAGTGTAGCATCGCAGACCGAACAATTCAGTTGCTTTGTGTGGTCGTGCATCAACGAGTCCGGACATCAAAATCGGTCGCCGTTCTTTTGTGTATAGCACCGCTTATCTGTACAGTTTAGATTATTAATGTCTCCATATAGTAATCATCATCATTTGCCTTTCAACGGTTACATTAAGGAGGCGAACACAAATGTCAAATAATATATTGTACATCCATCCGTGTCGTCGTTGGAGAGAGAGAGAGAGAGAGAGATGTTAGAGAGCTGAGCAGTGGAAACAATGGTATTGCTCAATCCGATTGTGATACAATATGTTTGCGTACATTCGGTATTTATTATTATTTCTTTTTTTTTGTAATATAAGCTAACCGCAATCGACGATTTTTTAGTGACGCAAATCCTTCTCCGGTGTATCGTACGAATGGCTAGAGGTTAGCGAATAACCTTTAGATTAGAACGGAGATAATGTCTTATGTGCAAACTACAAAAAAAAAACACAGAATTTACTTGCAATTTTCTCTGCTAAAGTCTTCTTCTTGACTATCAATAGATAATGGATCACTTACAATTTTACCATCGTAGAAATATTAGAACTATTTCAACGTACTGAATCATACTGAATCGACGAATTTAGACCTTTTAAAACTCATATTTTTCGGTTAACACTAAATTTTGGCTCGGCTTAAACGTTTGATAACCCTTTTTTGGGTTTGGGTTTTTTTCTGACAACTCTGAAATTTGATAGTAGTTTTTTATTAAGGTTTTAATAAAGTTGGGATCGTTTAGGAGTACCTTATGTATATATCTATGAAGTGTATCATATGTTTTAGCCGTGTTCCAGTGGACTTGGTATAAACAATGCCAGTGAGCACAAAATAGCTGTTATTCAATTCACTCGGTACGAAATCGGTATAATTTTGCTGTCACCATAAATGCATATCAAGCACCGCGTTAAAGTATTTTTTTCTCTCATAAAACGATAACAAACTGCCAGGATCTGAGCAGAGTTGGTAAAGGAAACTTAATGGGGGTTTTTTTTTAATTTAAGACCAGCAAACTTCTTGTATTCTCTTACAGTACTGTAAGGAATGTCATTGGATTTATGTGTTATGATCAGCTGATGTTCTATGCCTTACTGGCTACGATTGTCTTGACAATAATCCAGATTTGATCGATTTCCTCTCATCGCCACCCCGTGGGCACACTACCCCGTCTATTCCTCTCTTTCGAGAGTTCGATAAAGGTGGCCGAGGCTGTCCTACACTCGTGTCAGCGTTGAACGCCACCACTTCTTGTGTCTTGCCACAATTGACCAAAATTCTACTATAACCGTGTTGGCTTTTTTGTTCACAGGTCACGGCTGGTGGACCACGCGTACGGCCTATACTTCAAAGACCAGACTTACTACAGGGTGAGCAACATGGACGGTCGCATCGAGAACGCAGACCACCGGCTCACCGACGACATCACGGCTTTCACGTCGTCCGTAGCCCACCTTTATTCGCACCTGACCAAGCCGCTGTTCGATTGCGCCCTGATAGCCCTGACGTTGGCTAGGAGTAACCGAAAAATGGGCGCCGCCGTCATACCCGGTAAGAGCTAAATTAAGAACAAAATAAGATATGCCAATGAGCATATTTTGCGAGCAGTAGGTTAAATGATAATTGTCTGGAAGATTGGTGTGTCGGGATGAGTTTGGCGAGCAATGGGTTTATGATAACATGTTGACAATTGGTTGGCCAAAAAAAATAATAGAAACTACAAACATTCTCTAGGCTACGATTCCGCTGGGGGTATTTCTGTTTTTTTTTTCTGTCGAGTCTGCAAGACCGTCAAAGGTTCCCCGTTGCGATGCTGCGCTCAGCGGAAACGTCTCAATAGAAACAACAAACGATTTCCAAATAGGTAACGCGTTCGTCACATCGTTTCCATTCCTCCCCGTGTGCTGTTGTCTGTTAATGATTTAAAAAATCAGCATCGCCCATTGTTATGTTAACGCGACCTCCAAAATCAGAGTCTTAGCTCTGTGTGGTGTCTTATGTCACGTGGCTGCCCTGGCACATCTCCCCCAATCGGCTAAAAACATCTCGCGATCAGACTACTCTGCCGCGCGAAACTATTAACACATTGTGTTTTGTTCCATTCGGTTTTTTTTTTATTAACCGACCTGTTTTACAGACGTTGAATGTACAGTTATTAGTGTATCTTAATTACAACAATGGTAGATAATGTAATATTATACACCGGGAAGTGAGCAATTATGAAAATTAGATAATTATCATTTTCGAACGCTTCACGTTATAAATTTCATATATTTCTATTTAAAAATTTAAATCCGACTCAACTGTTCACCTAAATGGGAATAATTAGAACAAAAACAATGTCCGTCTACTGGATTGGTTTATTTTAATTTGCCACCAGTATTTTTGTTTGTTTTTTCGACTCACTCTTGTAGAATATCTAACCACACTCTGATCACTCTCACGGACTCAATTGATCGAAATACGGCTCAGTTTGGTAGAGGACCTTGAAAAACTTGTCACAATCATAAATTACCATTCCAACCAAGTCAGTCGACCAGAGGTTAGAAATAATTCTGAATAATCCGGACCACGTTACGTCCGTTATTGGAAATTAATCAAAATTAGCATATTTTTGCAACACAAAAAAAAATGAAAAAATCTTTTTTTAATATAAATATTTTGATTTTGTTTAATGTGAAAATTATGACATTCCAAACGATTCTCAATAATAATCGTGCGCTTGAATTCTTCGTCAATTTTTTTATTCTAAATTAGTATAGAAATAGTAATTAATGTAAACTGTAACGTTACAAAGGAGTCTAACGAATGTTTGCACAATATTGTTAATTGGCACGTCCCGTAAGCGGAATTAACACAAAGTGAAATATCAAGTAATTTATTCCCACTATAGAATAATTAAATACACAAAATAAAACGAACCGACCACACGAATAATATTACAAAATTAAACAAAAACATCTATAATTAGCATGATGTCAATGTAAGTGTCCAATTCGATTAAATCCACATTCGATTTTATATAAATAAAACAATCCAAGTTCATTTTGTACGGTGTTATGTTACTTTACACATTTGTATTGTGCGAACAACATAAATAATATGATATGGTGTTAGTGATAAACCCGACAATTGCAAAAAAAATTATATATAAATCCCAATGTCAGACCTTCGGCAAGATCTTGTTCGCTGAATTTCCAGAAATCAAGGACTATTGCGTTTCATATAAAAGAGTATTATATAAAATGGCAAAAATCTATTTAGGGCTGGGTTCGGAATATACTGTAATAATGTTTTTAGCATTAGAACTTAATTAATCATTTATATTATAATAACGCCTTTGGTGTGTAGACAAAAAAGGAAACAACACATAGTTGTTAATTTATTTCTAATAAGTGGTAATCATACTATAATTAGTCAACGATATGCAGTTAACGAGGTTCACAATTTGTACTTCTGTTTGTTCTCTTTTTTTTTTTTTGGTTCAATAGAATTTCTACAGCTAATACTAATTACATGCCAGTTGTCGTAATGGCATAACATCATGGGAATACTATAGCAAGTTTATAATACGGATCTGGACTCTATTTGAGTAATTCGATTTGAATAATAAAATTATTATTTTCTTTCAATTATAACGTTATTCGATTTTGTTTTAAAAAATTAAAAAATAATTATTATTATCAATGTTTACATTTAATGTAGCTTTGCTCTAAAATCGTTACCACCAAGCTGTGATGGTGTAATTGTTTTCTGCTGCTAAAAAATATAAAATTAAATACGTTTTTTTTTCTGTACACATTGAATTAGATAATAAAATATTTTTCGTTAGAAAGTTGCACCGGTGAAAGGACAGTAATAAATTTCAAGATAAACTCAAACAACATAATAACGACCTGTCGGCTGCGTTCAATGTTAAATAACCGTCGTGTATTTAACACTTATAATTATATGTACTTTTTTTTTTGTCCGTTAACATTCAATTATTGGGCACTCGGGTGTACTTAGCGGAATTGCGGAACCGATTTGGGAAATTATATTGAATTTTGATTTGTCCGTGCGTTTGAATTCAAAAACACCTTAAGCGCACCATGTAAGATGCCGTAAGATGACTCGAGAAACCTTCAACTATTGAACGGTCATCCTTCGATTTGGACTGCTTATCGTGTGGATTTTTAAGTATTAGTTAGTTAATATAATAAGCATGTACATTATCCAATACAAATTACAACGGTAATAAGTAATTATTATTATCTATCTATATATATTGCTTTGGTTAATTGATTTCACACGACGATGAACCTGTCTAATGTCTTAAGTTAGGCATTGACTTGCATATTATTGTGTCTAATGTCTTGAGGGTTAAGATTATTTCACAGATCATCGATTCTTAAAACAGACTTGCGCCGCTGTACAAGCTGATATTACTTATAAGTCTCTTCAAACTTCAATTGTGCTGAGTCAACAATAACAGCTACAATCAATCACTCAGGCCATTGGTGTCGGTAATAGTATGTATACTGTACGGGACCAAGGTCTAAAGTGTAATTAATCGAATGAATTGGTGATAAAATGATTGTGTACCTATCTAAAATATTACTCATAAACATATTTTATATATTATATATATATATTGTTATTTTTCCCGCCATAACCATAGCGATAGCACTAGAAATTTGCACATCATTCGACATAATATTTCATTACCATATCGACTGTACTCAATGGTATTAGTTAGAAGAATTTTAGTTAAAAAAAAAACAGTAAAAAGGACCAGCAAGACAGTAGACCAACACTTACTAAAGCTGTTACATAAAAAAAACTAAAACTATTAATCTACAGTTATAAAATAAAACAAAAAAAACTTTATATAATTGTGCAGTGTTACTTCATAGTTTTAATTGCAAGTGTAGTCATTAATTTATAACTAAGGCTGTCAAATAATTATATTAACTTAGTCGAGAGTCACTTTATTAATATTATTGCCGTTGTCTCATATTGTTTTTTGGCTTCTCAATGTACTTTTGCCACTCTCGAGTTTAGCTTGTGATAATATTGTTCCTAATCTAAAAGTATAAGATGGTCGAAAACAGGAAGCGTTTTTGGCTTTTACCGTCGACGTTCGAGTAATAATAATAATAATATTAGTAGTGCAAGTAATATTGCAAGTGACACAGGATATTCATATCCTATGTCTATCGATCTTCAATTTTGTTTATTCTATTAATATTAGCTTTAATAAGATATTGTTATTACTTGGATTATCGCCGAAGATTTGTTCTAATAATAACAATGTAACAATTTATAATAAAATATTGTCCCTAAAAGAATATTCGTAGAAGAATAATCATTATTTTAAAATAACACATGGAATGAATATTCTATTATTATAACTATTATATTATAAATAATTTTTTATTAAATTTTTTTTATAGTAATAATATATTCATATATTGTTTTTTTTAATCATTTTTCAATATGTATTGACTATTATTATTATTAAGATCTAGTTTAAACATATACTCAGTTGAGAATATTGTATAAATAATGTTAAGTATTATGCCTTTGTAATGGATCAGATAAGTAATAATAGGACATCCATATATATTTTTTTTATTATTCATTTTTGAATACTTATTGAATGATCTAATTTGAATATTCAATTGAGAATGTTCTATGAATAATATTAAGTATCATATTTAATGAAAATTTGTCATTGTCATGTTTACTTATTTATTGGAACTATTTTATTTTTCTATTTCCCATAAATTTCGACTTATTTGTCTTCGATGATACTAAACAAATTATTTGACAGCTCTAATCTGTAATAATAATAACTTAAATTATTTCCAAAGACTCACACTGTGTAAATATATGTATCTCGAGTAGTGGTCGATTAGAGGTAGGTTTTAGGTTTCCCGTGTGATGGAATTGAATAGTATTTTATGAACGTCCGTGTGTTACTCGGTTAGGTATGAATAATTTAATATTATACTCGACGCGTTGTTTGATAACACTCGAGCCGCATAATATTATGTACCTATAATGTAATAATATGTTAAAAGTCCAAAACGAAATTCGTCATCGGTTTGTGGAGAAATAAAAAAATACTTATTTTATTAGTAAACTTGACACCAAGACACACGCATGACTTTCCTTTTTCAACAAGAGCCGGTTTTCGGTTCAAACGGATCGACTACATTTCTTTCTCGGTCAGTTCTGTACTCGACTTTCGTCCTTAGTAAACAGTAATCGTTCACATTTTTTTTTTTTTTAAGTATCTTAGGTACCTTCGATTCAAGGTCTCGTCTCTGTGTGTATTTAACGTTAGAAACATTTCATAAGCCGCGACATCATAAATGGAAACCGGGTAGGTTTATTACGGAACATTTACCTATAGTGGAGAAATCGACTTTGCAAAAAAAAAAAAAACAAAACTAGTTGCTATTGGATGAACCGGATATTATTAAATACAGCCCAAAACTGGTTACCGGTTGTGGTAGAACCGTCTTGCAACGCACAGTCGCGGAAGTAAATAGATAGCTGTTATT